CCCCCCGCAAGCCGCCGTTTGTCCGGTGGCATGAAGGCTATGATCTTCTTGACTGGCTTGGCTTCTTTTTCGGTTTCCAGCGCGACAACGTCCGTAACCAGCGTGAGCACCTCGTTCTCCTCCTCGCCAACGCACATATGCGCATCCAGCCTCCACCAGACAACATCGACGCCCTTGACCCAAACGTCGCTCGCCGTCTCCGCCGCAAGCTTCTCAAAAACTACACCGCTTGGTGTTCCTACCTCGGTCGGAAACCTAACGTCTGGATCTCCGACAGCCATCGCCGCTCCGCCGCAGCTGCTCCAGACTACTCTCGTCGCGACCTGCTGTACACTGCCCTTTACCTTCTCGTCTGGGGTGAAGCTGCTAACCTCCGCTTCGTCCCCGAATGCCTCTCCTACATCTTTCACCACATGGCCATGGACCTAAACCGCATCCTTGAGGATTACATCGACGGAAACACTGGACTTCCCGCTATTCCGGCGATTACCGGCGAGAACGCCTTCCTCAACCGTGTCGTCAAGCCAATCTACGCCACCATAAAAGCTGAGGTTGACTCGAGCCGCAATGGCACCGCACCCCACTCCGCCTGGCGAAATTACGATGACATCAACGAGTATTTCTGGTCTCGCCGTTGTTTTGACCGGCTTGGATGGCCACTCGATCTCTCCAAGAACTTTTTCGCCTTTCCTCCGGATCGTAATCGCGTCCGCAAGACCGGCTTCGTCGAGCAGCGCTCATTTTGGAACCTCTTCCGTAGCTTTGACCGCCTGTGGGTAATGCTCATTCTCTATCTTCAGGCGGCCATCATTGTGGCGTGGGAAGGTAAAACCTATCCCTGGCAGAATCTACAGAGCCGTGACGTTCAGGCGAGGGCCCTGACCATATTCATCACTTGGGCTGGTCTACGCTTCCTACAGTCCATTTTGGATGCTGGAACGCAGTACAGCCTTGTCCGTAGGGAGACCATGTGGCTTGGAGTGAGGATGGTGCTCAAGAGTGTAGTGGCTGCTGCTTGGGCTGTGGTTTTCGGCATTCTGTATGCTAGGGCTTGGGACCAGAAAAACAGAGACCGCAGGTGGTCTCCAGCGGCCAACCAGAGGTTAGTGAACTATTTGGAGGCTGCTGGGGTGTTTGTACTTCCGGAGGTGATTGCCATTGTCCTTTTCATTCTCCCTTGGATCCGGAACTTCCTTGAGAAGACAAACTGGAGGATCTTTTATGCGCTTACTTGGTGGTTTCAAACCCGTACTTTTGTAGGTCGTGGGCTGAGGGAAGGGCTTGTTGACAACGTGAAGTATGCCTTGTTTTGGGTTCTTCTTCTAGCCGTCAAGTTCACTTTCAGCTACTTCCTTCAGATAAAACCAATGATCTCTCCAAGCAAATCCATCTACAAGCTTCATATCACCGAGTATCATTGGCATGAGCTCTTTAGTAGGACCAATAGATTTGCTGTTTTTCTTTTGTGGCTCCCGGTTGTGCTGGTCTATCTTTTGGATATTTCAATCTGGTATTCAATTTTTTCATCCCTTGTTGGAGCTCTGGTGGGGCTTTTCTCACACATTGGTGAAATTAGGAATGTCCAGCAGCTAAGGTTGAGGTTTCAGTTTTTTGCAGATGCAATGCAGTTCAATCTGATGCCTGAGGAGCAGCTCTTCCGTGACAGGGGTACACTAAAGAGCAAGTTCAAAGATGCTGTCTTACGTCTAAAGCTCAGATATGGATTGGGGCGGCCTTACAAGAAGATTGAATTAAACCAGGTTGAAGCCAACAGGTTTGCCTTGATATGGAATGAAATTGTGGCTACGTTCAGGGAGGAGGATATTATCAGTGACCGAGAGTTGGAACTTTTGGAACTGCCACCGAATTCTTGGAGCATCCGGGTGATTCGTTGGCCTTGCCTCTTACTCTGCAATGAGCTTCTTTTGGCTCTTAGCCAGGCGAAGGAACTGGTAGCATCAGACCGTCGGCATTGGAGAAAGATATGCAAAAATGAGTATAGGCGCTGTGCTGTTGTGGAGGCATATGATAGCATCAAATACTTGCTGCTTAAGATCATCAAAGAGGGAACCGAGGAGCACAAAATTGTGTCACATCTATTCTTATTGTTTGATTATGCCATCAATGATGAGAAATTGACCTCTGAGTATAAAATGGCGGTTTTACCAGTCCTTCACTCCAAGCTGATCACTCTCCTTGATCAACTTCTTAAACCAAAGAAGGATCTGAACAAAGTGGTGAATACATTACAGACTTTGTATGATGTTGCCATACGTGATTTTCCTACTAAGAAGCAAAACATCGAACAGCTAAAGCAAGCAGGACTGGTGCCTGTGGGACCAACTGCTTCTGGTCTTCTATTTGAGAATGTTATCGAATTGCCTGATGCAGAAGACACAAATTTTTACAAGCAAGTGAGACGGTTGCACACGATTTTAACATCCAGGGATTCTATGAATGATGTGCCCAAGAATCTAGAGGCTCGGAGACGAATGTCCTTTTTCAGCAACTCCTTGTTCATGAACATGCCGAGGGCTCCACAAGTTGAGAAAATGTTTGCCTTCAGTGTTCTTACGCCGTATTATAATGAAGATGTATTGTTCAGCAAGGAGCAGCTCCGCACAGAGAATGAAGACGGCATTTCCATCTTATTTTATCTGCAAAAGATTTATGATGATGAATGGGCTAACTTTTTAGAACGAATGCGGGGTGAAGGAATGGCTGATGAGTCTGATATATGGGGCGAGAAGTTGAGGGAGCTTCGTCTTTGGGCCTCCAATCGGGGCCAGACTCTCACTCGCACGGTCAGGGGAATGATGTACTACTATAAGGCTCTCAAGATGCTTACTTTTCTTGATTCTGCTTCTGAGGTGGACATTAGAGAAGGGTCGCGAGAACTTTCTTTACTTGGTTCTTCTCGGGAGAATGTTGTGGATAGTTTAGGGGATTCTTTTAGGTCTGTTTCAGCACGGAATCTGAGCAGAGCAAGCAGTGGGGTGAGTCTATTATTCAAAGGCCATGAATATGGGACAGCCCTCATGAAGTATACATATGTTGTTGCCTGTCAGATATATGGACAGCAGAAGGCAAAGAAAGACCCTCATGCTGAAGAAATTTTATATCTAATGAAGAATAATGAAGCACTTAGGGTGGCCTATGTTGATGAAGTTCACACAGGGAGGGAGGAAGTGGAGTATTATTCTGTTCTTGTCAAATATGACCAGCAGCTGCAGAGAGAGGTAGAGATATACCGAGTCAGGTTGCCTGGTCCATTGAAGCTTGGTGAGGGCAAGCCAGAGAACCAGAATCATGCTCTCATTTTCACAAGAGGTGATGCAGTGCAGACTATAGATATGAACCAAGACAATTACTTTGAAGAGGCCCTCAAGATGCGGAATCTTTTGGAAGAATACCGACATAGCTATGGTGCAAGAAAGCCAACAATTTTAGGTGTCCGAGAGCATGTATTTACCGGTTCTGTCTCATCACTTGCTTGGTTCATGTCTGCACAGGAAACTAGCTTCGTCACTCTTGGACAGCGGGTTCTAGCAAATCCTCTGAAGGTGAGGATGCATTATGGACACCCCGATGTTTTTGACCGCCTATGGTTTTTGGGCCGTGGGGGTATTAGCAAGGCCTCCAGAGTCATCAACATCAGTGAGGATATATTTGCAGGCTTTAACTGCACATTGCGTTGTGGTAATGTAACTCATCATGAGTATATCCAGGTTGGTAAGGGTCGTGATGTGGGTCTGAATCAAATTTCAATGTTTGAAGCGAAGGTTGCTAGTGGAAACGGAGAGCAGGCTTTAAGCAGGGATGTCTATAGACTTGGCCATAGGTTGGACTTTTTCAGGATGCTTTCCTTTTATTACACGACTGTTGGATTTTACTTCAACACCATGCTGGTTGTCCTAACCGTGTATGCATTTGTATGGGGTCGGCTATATCTGGCACTTAGTGGGCTTGAGGCTGCAATAAAGAATTATGCTGACTCTACAAGCAATACTGCTCTCGGCACCGTTCTAAATCAACAGTTCATTATTCAGCTTGGTATTTTCACTGCCTTGCCAATGGTGGTAGAAAACTCTCTTGAGCATGGATTCCTAGGGGCAGTGTGGGATTTTTTGACCATGCAGATTCAGCTTGCATCTGTTTTTTACACCTTCTCCATGGGAACTAAAACTCATTATTTTGGGCGGACAATCCTTCACGGAGGTGCCAAATATAGAGCTACTGGTCGCGGTTTTGTTGTGCAGCACAAGAGTTTTTGTGAGAACTACAGGCTTTATGCTCGAAGCCATTTCATTAAGGCTATAGAGCTTGGTGTTATACTAACGTTGTATGCATCATATAGTGCCATTGCGAAGAACACTGTCGTTTACATAGTGATGACAATCTCATCATGGTTTCTGGTGGTTTCATGGATAATGGCTCCTTTTGCTTTCAACCCTTCTGGTTTTGATTGGCTGAAGACCGTTGATGACTTTGATGATTTTTTGAGTTGGATATGGTACCGTGGTGGGATATTTGCAAAATCAGAGCAGAGTTGGGAGAAGTGGTGGGAGGAAGAACAAGATCATTTACGTACCACTGGCCTTTGGGGAAAATTATTGGAGATAGTTCTTGATCTGAGATTCTTTTTCTTTCAGTATGGCATTGTCTTTCAGCTTAATATTGCCAGTGATAGCAAAAGCATTATTGTTTACTTTCTCTCATGGATCTATGTGCTGGTTGCTTTTGGAGTTTTCTTGATAATGGGCTATGCTCGTGATAAGTATGCAGCAAAAGAACATGTCTACTATAGGACCGTCCAAGCTTTGATCATCACTCTTGCTATTTTGGTGATTGTTATATTGCTCAAGTTCACCGATTTTGGTATCATTGATATTTTTACTAGCCTTTTAGCATTAATTCCAACAGGGTGGGGCATGATTTTGATAGCTCAGGTGATGAAACCACTCATTAAGACCACTGTGGTCTGGAATACAGTTGTAGCTGTGGCTCGGCTATATGATATGATGTTTGGAATCATTGTCATGGCTCCTGTCGCACTATTGTCTTGGTTACCTGGATTCCAGGCAATGCAGACAAGGATTCTGTTCAACGAAGCATTCAGTAGGGGTCTCCAAATATCTCGTATCATTACCGGGAAGAAAGCTAATTTTGATTTGTAGAACATGGTAATGCTTCACCCTTTTATGTATTTACTTTATAATTCTGCTATATGGATATTTAGATCATGCATGTTTTAAAAGATCTTTTAATGTGTTGATTATTTCCATTCTTATTCTATTGATTGTACATGTTGTCTGCTATCCTTCATCTTTTTGTTGTAAAATTCAAGTAATTTATCACTACATGTTATTAGTAGTCTCACTTTAAGCAGTTTGCTGCTTGCTTTATGCATGATACCTTCTATCATATCTGTAACCTTCTATTTAAGATACGGATTGTTGTTGCGGGGTGGGGTGTTTGAGCCATGTTCTACTGGAGGCTCCCAAATAAAATCATGGCCCTTTGATCTTTGTAAAGTTAAGCCCAAAATAGTCAGAGTTCTTTATTTTTTGTTTTGACTACCTGGTAAGGCTTAAAGCTTTATTAGAAGGAATAAACGGATTTTCAATCATGTTGAATGTTTGTTATTATGATTCTTTTAACGATCAAAAGCATTGGCATCTTCTTAAAGTTGGAGAAAGCTTATTTAAAGTACCAAAAAAGAAAGGTTCATTAAACTTGAGATGAAAAAGAATATTGATTATATTATTTTGGACATTTTTAAGATTGAATGTTGATAACAAATAACCAGATGATTTTAATTGATTTTAGAGTTGGTCCATACATTAATTCAATCATTTGCTTGATTATCTCACACACATATATATATGTTTGTATGTAGGATTGTTGGTATGTTGGTATGTAGGTATGTTGGATTGTAGGTATGTAGGTATGTATGTATGTATGTATGTATGTATGTATCTATGTAGGTATATATGTATGTATGTCTGTAGGCATGCATAGATAGATGAGCTATCTCTATAATGAGATCTATTTATATAATGAGATTGTTGATTCATTAATTTTATCTGGTGCACAATAAAAAATTTTTTTTTTGAATTCGATTATGTGTGTGTGTGTGTGAAATTAGTACTTTTTATATGGACATTACATGCCAGCCATATATTTTGTTAAGATTGTAGAAAACAAATTGTGTGTATAAGGGATATTCTCTTCATTAATGAGAGCAATTTATCTCTGTTTATTCTTTAATTTTAATGAAATTTTTATCTTTATTTACACTTTATAAAAAAGAATGTTTAATCTTTAAAATATTGATGTCTTGCTATATAAGTTCAAAAAGTTGTTTGATTAAGGTCTCCATCATAAAAATTAGTAGTTTAGTTTTCGTTCTATCTAGATCATCCATTGGGAATGTAAATATGCATGCTTACGGCATGACTAAATCATTTTAACAAATTTATGACTAGCTTTTTTAAGGATGTAGATTAGGATAGAACATCTAAGTATTCTATTTGAATATTGCATGATGGACAAATAAAACAAAATAAAACTACATGGAAAAGCGTTATATATATTCTTTGGATGGATCATCTTCTTATGGGGAGAATGTCTATTATCTTCTCATTTAGTTTAAGTATGCATGTCTAACATAAATTATGATAATTCAGCTTTTTAACACTCTTAATACTAGTAACATACATGATTGAATGCGCTTTGAATATTGTTTGACGATCAATTAAGTGCATATAAAAGTTTTGGAAGGATGAATGTTTGCATGAGAATAAATTTATGATATTTATACGATAGAATCTTGCAAATATCTTGTTATTTAATATATAAGTTGACCATTGCATTGTATCTATAAGATATTTGGTAGTTTCGGTTGTTTAAATGCATAGCTGTAACAAGTTTTCTAGCTAGGCTTCTATATATTGTTTGATCATTTTCAGTGGTTAAATCTGTATGAAAATCAATAAAATTCAATTTATGATTTTTTTATTTTTTTTATTTTTTTAAAATGTTCAAAATCAATGCAAGTCAATAGACTTTCAAAACAGAATCAATTGTTCTAATATCCTGGATTTTAACTCTATGATTTTTGACGTTTGTAAGTTCTTTTCACTAAAAAAAGTTATTTTTAATCCCCATCATTCTTCTTTCTTTTTGGTTTTTTTTTTCTAATAACATATGTTTGTGAAATTACCAAACATATGTTGATTTTGTATAATTTGGTTATTATCTACCGTAATCTGGTGAAAATTTGTATGCAGTTCACATACAATCATAATCATATGCAATTAAACCAAATATCTTAGATTGTTAGCCGGATTTTGACAGAGTAGTTGTGGATGGCTAGAGGAGTGGGTAGAAGCAAACCAAACTGAAATTTAGTTCGGCTTTTGTTCAACCAATTCTTGAAAAAAATAAGAAGGGACAAGCTTAGAGTTAGACATTTATTGTTGTCATTTGGGTTGTCAGTTTAACCATTTTCTTAAAAACGAAACAAAAACTATAATCCAAATAATTTATATTTCAAATTAAATAATCGACCCACCATTTAATAAACTGAACCAAATGAACAAAATATACTTAATTCAGTCGCTTTTTCAGTTTCAGCCAATTAATGGAAACCCCTACTTAATAGTATCGGATTGTAATAATTTATTATAAATAATATAATTAATATAAGTGTCTCAAGCTCCGCCAATTGGCTCTATCTTCCAATATGATTATTGCATGAAGGTATCTAATCATCACAACTTTATATATTGTTTTTATTATATATCCAATACTAGCCCAATGATGTTAGACACTAACCAAGTTGAGGAAATTTAAAATACATTTAGAAACTATCAAATATTGTTAATGACAATTATATGCTAAGAACAATAACTAGATTGAAAAAGAGAGAGAGAGAGATAGAGAGAGGAGAGAGAGAATACGACTAAAAAGTTAATTTCTTCTTTGAAATGGTGTAATAATCAAGTTTAAAAGATAAATTTTTTAAACTCTAAAATCATAGGGGAAATTCGTTTTTTTTTAATCCTATGTTTGACCATTGATTATTTTTTAGTGCTTTGACCTTATTGTATTTTGTTGTAGCCTTATTATTGGTTATGCCTATTATTTGGTTCAATTCAGTTTTTAAAATCTATTAATTGATTTGTTTGAACTGACCAACTGCACCCCTTTAGCATTAAAACACTAGATGATAATTTAAAATGTTCATATATTAGATAGTTGAAATTTGATACTACTAAGGTGGTAATTTATATTTAAAATATGTAATTTTATTGTTAACTAATAAAATAAAATTTATTAATAAGAACTACTATAAATTATTGTTTCAAAGATTTGTAAAATTTGAACCAAGTCATTCAAGTGAGCATTCTTCTCTCCCACCAATATACATGTTAGTGTTGCTGTTAATCGGGCACTATATATAGAAATGGACTCTACCATAGCTAAAAGTTTTAAGAGGAAAATTGATATCATCAAAAGTTAAACTACTTGAACATATAGAATTGGCTTTCAGAGTTAAGGAGGATTCTATTTTTTTTTTCAAGATAATTGAAAACTAAGTAATGTAAATAAATATAAGAGAAATTCAAAGAAATAGAATGAAAAAAAAAATAATAAAAAAAATAATTTTTTGAGGTATTTTTAAGTTCAAATAGCTCGAGTTACGATTCCAAAATAATCTCATGAGTATGTATAAACTCTTGGAGATCCTTAGATGCATTGGGACTCTAAATAAGGAGTATTAATAATATGGGGTTTTTTACATGCATAGCACTCAAAACTTATTTTTTAACATATTTCACACCCAAACATCTATGTTTAAAAAAAAAAAAAGAAAAAAAAAAGAAAAACTTTTTTCACTACCATTAATGATTATGTTGGGTAATTCTTTCGAGGACTCCTGCTCCGTCGTGATGCTGCTCCGACGACACAATGAGCTTTTATATCGACGTCGGCTACGAATTTCACATCCTCATCGCTACCTTCTGGACGGCGAGCGCCTGCGGTTTAATGGGCTACCTTCACTTTCATAAGTAAACAACTAACAACCTAAAATATAACTTAAGAAAATCAGCTCAGTGTTTTTTGAGTTTTTAGATGTCTAATTTAGGTAATGACCTTTCAGAGGTGAAATGCCTCGCTGGTTGAGGAGCTAAAACTGAAGGTAGTCCATTAACTCGCATGCGCTCGCCATCAAGAAGGCAACTACGGGAATGTCGAAACTTGTTGCTAGCATCGATGTAAAAGCACTTCGTGCCGTTTGAGCAGAGTAATGCCAGAGCAGGTGTCCTTGAAGGAATTCCCCAACGAAATCATTAGCGGAAGTGAAGAAGTGCTTTTTTGTAAATGTATAAGTTTGGGTGTGAAATATTTTAATAGTTAAATTTTGAGTGCTTTTTATGTAAAAAAGCTATAATAATATTATCCAAGGCCACTACTATTCAAAGCAGATTTAACTGTTAATATTCTCACGACTCATGTTTATTTTCATTTATGTATGTTTAATTTATAATACATTTTGAAAATAACTTTAGTATTTGAATGTAGGTTTAAATATAGGTTCAAAATAAAAATTTTAGAATGACCTAAAAGAATTATTTCAAACGATATCTCTTTAAAAAAGAATTTTTATTGGAGGAGATTTAAATGGTCATGATAGTAGAGTAATGCAAGATTTAAGAAGTGTTCATAGTGGTTATGGTTTTGGAGGAGATTTGAATTGTCTTGTTAGTAGAGTGGTAGAAGATTTTAGAAGTATGCATGATTGTTAGTGTTTTGGAGTGATTGATGAAGAAAGTAAAATAATATTAAACTTTGTATTAGCTTATAGTTTTGCTATTATTAATATTTTATTTAAGAAAATATATGAGCATATTATTACTTATAAGTGTGAATCTAATAAAACATAAATTTATTATTTTCTTATGAGAAAAATAGATTGTCAAGAATGTAAAGATTGCAAGGTCATTCTAAGTGAAAATTTAATACTCAATCTCGATAATTGGTTTTGGATTTTAAGATTAAGAGTTAAAAGATAAAAAATCCAATGAAACTTTGTCATAGAATTAGATGAAAGTACATAAAAGATACAAATAAAATTAATTTTAAGAGTAAAATTTAAGATTTCAAGATTTGAGAT